TTTGTTTTGTTTTGAGACAGGCTCTTACTCTGTAATTCGGGTTGGCCTTGAACTCACTATGTAGCTCAGCCTGGCCTGAAACTCATGGTAATCCTCCTGCCTCAGCCTCCTGAGAGCTGGAATTACAGGCTTGCAACACCATATCTGGCCTGTACCTATAGATATTATCACCAAATACAAAAGCTGCAATTATGGAATTGTTTTTGTAAATTTGGTTGGTTAGTGAACAGAGCTCATGAAACCAGACACAAAAGGTCATTTGCAAAAAGGGATTATATACAAATTTATAAAATAATATTGATATACAGTGTGTCCACAGTCTTTCATCTCATACTTTTATCCTGTGGACAAAAGAAAAAAAAAATGGATACCAGAGGAAAAAATAAAGGAAAAAGATCAAATCCCATGTCATTTTCACTACTGAAAATGTGTTCCAAACTCATATTTCTGTCTTGATGAGACGATAGCTTCATCTTCAAACACAGACACCAAAAGTTTAAATAATAAAATTTCACGCTGCTTTAGCTTTCTGATATTTTTATCTGTAACAGGATTATTCAGAGAGGAATGTATATAGCTCTGCTTTTTGCTATAACATTGATAAGTGCAGTTTTGTTTGAAAATATTACAAATAAATGAGAGAATTAAATTTTCCTAATCATGAGAAAATAGATTATAAGTTATCCAGGGTTTGCTTGCAGTGGTAATTTTTTTCTCCTTAACACTTTCTGACAAGATATTTGATACGATGTTCAGATTTCAAGTATTTAATTACTGCCTTATATTTTATATATTAGGAGATGCTCTTTGAGTTCAATTTGACATGATTTATCCTTTTATATTCAAGAATAAACATTTCATGCCTATTGTCTTTGAGCCTATAATTTAATTAAAAGTAAAATCCGGGTAGTATGTATATTGTTTTATATATTCAAACTTGTTAAAGAAATTTTTACTTGGCAATTAATATTTGTACATTAAACAGATAATAGGAAGATTATATTCAGATGGCACGATACATATAAAATTTATACTTCCAAAACTGAATATGCAGTTTTGATATTTTCTTAATTGATTCAATTTAAATGTATCTACTTTGTACCAGATAAAAATCACTCCTAACCCTTATTAAGCCCTTTCTAGGTTCCAGACACTTTGTATGATTTTTACCATTTCTTCCATTAAGTGACTATTATTAATTCCTTTATATAGATAAGAACAGTAAGTTTCAGAGAACTGAGGTGACCAACCCACATTTGCTCAGCTGATAAAGCAGCTCCTGAGCTCAGTTGTCTGCAGAACAGGGTAGTGATAAATTTGTTAATAACAATATATCTATGCACAGCTAATGAGCTGTGGAAGGTAACTTTCTCTATAAAATTGCATAATCTGGCTTGCCTTGTGGATAAAAATCAATGTACAGAATGGAAGCTTCCAATGGCCCCATAATGTATGTAACAAGAAAAATTATAACCTGCTCAAAAAATAGAACATAGCAGAAACCAATGTAGCCAATGTGTATTAAATATTAATTTTGTGCTTTGCTTTTCTGCATGTGACTTGGTTTCACAGGGGATAGAAGACATAATTGCACAAGGATTACATAAAAGCCATATGTACTATTTATAAAATTGACCAGATGTCAACTCTCACTACCAATCTCTTTAACCTTATGATATTATAGTAGATATTTACATTTTTATAAGAATAGATATCACTGTTTATTACCTAAAGCTAACCTCATGCCTGTTAAATTATTTATGCATCTGTTTTAATATGTATTTTGCATCTGACAGGACAACTCTCCTTAGGACCCTTTTACTGACCCACCTGTCATTATGATGGGGTAAACAATGTCACCTTTCTAGTGCACGATGAATTACAAAGAAGTTGTAAAGTACACCATCCATCATGCTGGCACTAAGTAGGTTTTTAAAGTAGATCTCAGATACCACAAATGCTGTTTAGACTGTTACCAGAAAGCACAAATTGGAAGCTTATACAAAACGGTCCTATGATGAATGGACACGACAGCTCTCCAAAGAAAAGGGGCACTCCCCTTCTACCAATAACCTTGTCAAAAGCAAAAGTTGCTGTGAGCTTGCCAGCAATCAGAATGGAATTATTTAAGAACTTGTTAATGGCTCTGCCTGATAGAAATTCATGCAAACAGAATGTATTCAAAATCAAAAGGATGTATGCCCGAATCATCAGCAACTGCTCAAGCTTGATTTGCATTAGGGAATGGTCCCACAAAAACACAGAAAATCATTAATGCCCTATTAACTATAATATGTGAATTTCAATAGCTCTCTAAAACATGTATATGAAACATACATCAGTGTCTGTTTGCATGTACAATAGTCTCCTGGAAACTTCTTTGCTTTGGAGAATAATCCTAGAACAGCTTGGGTTTTAAAGTATCAATATAGATAACTTCTTTTACATCTTCTTCATATAGACATTTAAATTTTTATGTACTTAGTGTAATAGATTTTCACTGTTTATACAATTAAAATAGTTATTTTCAATGACTCCATCTAATTTGCATGATTAATTTCTCAAACTATGCTCTTCAAATGCAAGATGTTTGTTTTATCCATAATCAAATTTTAGTTCCCTCAATAATCCTTTTTGTATAGGCCTAATATTTGAAAGATGGAGTGTATTTCTTCATTTACACTTTAATTTCTCCCTTCTAATAGCTTTTTTTAAAACCTTAATGGGTGAGGGAACAGAGAAAAGAAAGAAGGGGAAATTATGCATGTATGTATATACAGGATAGCTAACATAGTTGTACTACTGGCTTCTACCGCTTTACTGAAAGGAACAGTTAATGATTAATTATTTGATCAATCTTGCATGCCCCTATTTATTTTCCTGAGAAACCACTTTGAAGATGTCAATACTTACTACAACAACCATTGTTAATTTCCTACCACTTTGTCTGTAACTCTGTATTGCGTGTATTGTTCTTATGCTGTTTTGTAAATAGATGTCTGTTTGTTAATATGTTTTCCTTCTTTTAGTTTTAAAATAAATTTTTAAAAAACACCTAACTCCTTTCTATTAAAAATGGAGGCTTTAGGGGCTGGGCATTTAGCTCAGCGGCACAGCTCCTGCTTGGCAAGCGCTAGGTCATGAGTTCGATTCCTGGTACCGGAAAAAAAAAACAACAACAAAAAAAATGGAGGCTTTAATACATTCCCAAATGGTAAATAGTACCAAATAAGGGTTTACAACTTCATGGATATTTCATGAATAAGTAGATCTTCGCTTTGTTTTATATGAAATAAAGAAACTAAACATGAATAACTGATAAGAAAAAGATAGGACACTCTCAGAGATATGGACCTTTTATGGAATTTATTCAATCTTATCCCACATTTAAAACAGTGGGACAACAGATTATTACAAAAAAACCATGCTGAGGAAAGAGGGACACAAGTTGTAAATTCATGGCTTTTCCATATCACCTTAGTTAAGCAATTATTGATGTTTGCCAAAATAAACTGGAAAGCAAGTAGATAGGGGCAATTCGAAGGCATCTCTTATGTTTTTGTGGTTGTTCTGTTTCAGACCTGCTTTTGTTAGAGGACGAAATCATCTTGCTGGGCTTGAGCCAATTGGACAAGAGAGAGGGCAGGAGGTGTGTGGGACTTACACAAGGTGAGGAATCTGAGAGAAAATATGTGGGTTACTTGTAAAATCTTGGATTAAGGCCCAAACTTTTGAACCAAGGAGAGGGTACTACCTGCAGCTATTTTTATTAATATGCAGGTGTGTTTCATTTCCTTTACTGCCTACCAGAAATAATGCATATTAATCAAATTAAATTATAAGAGTTCTACACTAGGAATACTACAGACATTTAACATTAAATTAAATTCGAATTAATTTAAAGGTAAAATTTCTCAAGGTTATGCTGGGTTTTATGCAGCACTGTTGGAAGTCAGGGCGTAACACAACATAGAGTAGAAACAACGCTGAAACACAGGTAGAGCGGCACCTCCCATCACCCCCCTTCCTTCCAAGAAAAGCTTCTATCAGGAACAAGCATTCGCCATTACATTAAGTATATCTGCAAAATAGCGTTAAAGATCTAAATATTTCATATATTAACCATAATTAATAAGAAGTAAGATTTTCAGAAAATTGTACTAATAACAGTCAGAAACATTATATTTATACTAAATGAGACAATTATAGTGGCAGGAAACTAGCAATCAATAATAATGTATACTATATATTATTCTTACTGTAGACTATGCTCTGTCATCTAAGATAAACACATATTAGTTAATTTCACTCTCATAATAGTTTTAGAAAATTGGAACTATTATTATTCTCTTCACAGAGATACAGGAACTCAGCACTGGATGGTTTAACTACCAGTGGGTAACTGCAGAGCTGAGATTTAAAACTAATCCATGTGGCTCTAATAGCCTTCCACTTAACTATTGTCAAAAACACGCAGTGCCAAAACCTAGCTAACCCTGAAAAGGTGGAGGAAAACTCTCCACCTGGCTCCCTGTCACATGTGCTTTCGATCACGGAAGCACAAGTGCTGTATTTCAAGTCTTGTATGTGTGAATAATCACATCAATTTTCCACCTCATCTCTTATGTGCACTCACAGTCTCGAAACACAGTCCCCTCCATGTCCTCCCTTTCTCTTCATAACAGCGTATTAAAATTGGCCTCTTCAAAACTATAAGTGAAATAAACTTGTACTTTATGGCCTGAGCAAAACGTGAATGACTCAGTCACATCTTCAACACCTCTGAATTAGATTCTTCTAACCTGCTTTCACTTGCAAAATATGCCAAGAAAAGCATCAGGCAGTTTCTACCTTCCTTCCCTTTCCTGGTGGCTCCACATTCACAATGCTTAATGGTGACTTTTTTATGTTGCATCTTGCCAGTTAGCTCCATTTAGATGAAAGCTGTTGTTTTTTAATTCCATTTCACCGTAAATGACAGAGACAAACGGTCATATTACCTCGAGAGTTCCTTTGGCAGAGTAAGCGGCATAGGAGTAGAGCAGATCTTGGCTGCTGTCTGTTCTGGCCCTTTCACTGCAAGGCTGGCCATTAGGATGGAAGCACTGGCCGCTGCCGCTCAGCGTCACAGTGCTGGGCGAAGGCCCTGGCACGTTGAGCAGCACGGAGTAATTCACAAACTGTACATCTTCGAGGCCCAGAGAAGTCCAGTGAGTCTTAATGTTCTTTGAAATTTCCATGTCATCTTCACTGTTATAGAGTTCTACCACATTTCTGAAAAGAAATATAAAAGCACACTTCAAACAAAGGGGAAATCTTTATCCTTTTGCGATGTGACAGTTCACCATGTGAAAAATTATTAATAGATGTTATAGGAAATGGAAAAATGAATAAGACAAGATCCTATCACAGAAATTTACAGTGTGGTGGGGAGTATGGGCTAAGAGAAGAATTATAGCAAATCAAGCAGGATGGATCAATTTCTAAAATTCAGAACTAAGCTCTGTGAGACGGCGGAGAAGAGTGATTAATGCCAAGTAGTTCTTTTATTGGTTCTAATCCTTCTATCCACATTACCATAATCCATTTAAAATCAGTTCCCAAAGTATGTGTCATGCTGGGGGAGATAGCTCTGCATTGTGCTTAATATGACTCTATATAAAATGATTGATTAACATATAGCGATTGCTATTTAAAATAATAGAGAGCACATTGGATACAATTTGTATGACAAATTACATGATATTATATGCAATAAAGTCAATATACAAATATTAAACCAAAAACATAGATTGCCAAACCAATATGTACTTTGTTTGTGTTATGTCTCTTACAGTCCTACACTTATTTCATAATCTGCCACAATACTATCTATTTTTGTTGATAATATTTTAGATGTCAGATGAAAATCTATGTAGAATGCTATTGGACATGGGAACTAATAATAATTGAATCAGGTATTTTTTAAAAAATTTTGTAGCTAAAATAGAAAACAACCAAATTGTGACCAGATTCTTTTTTGAGTGCTAATGTATTTACTATAAAAATTTTATTGCCATCCAAGATATTACATATTAATGTTTATATTGTTATATTTGCCCATCATATTATTTTTTCTCACATACACATATTTAGATGAAGACCCACTTTATTCAAGAACCACAAACAGAACACACCTGGAAAAGGAATTTTTATTCCTTTATGTCCATTTTTTAGTGGAAACAATAGTACAGCAAAGCATTACTGGAGACAAATGTTAGGTTTATCAACACAGCTTGAAAGCTGTCCTAGATAAGGACATGCAAAAATAAACAATTTCTTAGACACATTTTTCAGTACTTAGGATCAAATTCAGGTCCTCCCATGTACTAGACAAGTGCTTCACCACAGAGATCTGTCCCAATCCCTTTTTATTTATATACACACAGATATGTAATCTATAAGGTAATGGGATGCAAAAAAGCCAGACTGATAATTGATATTTATGCAAAGATTAAGGTATGGGAAATAATAATATAATAATATATCCCTAGCCTTTTTTATTTTAGTTTTGAGAAAAATTCTTGCTAAATTGTCCAGGTAGCTTTGAATTTCTGATGCTCCTACCTCAACCTTCCTAGTAGCTGAGAATATGGGCATATGCTGCTGTACCAAGGTCTGTGTCGTACTTTTAGAAGCTGTTTCTAATGTTCCTGAATTTCCCTATAAGTACCAATCAACATTACAGTAACACTTAAGTGTTATGGAAGATCAGATTGAAAAATTTATTTTTTAATTCCCCTTGAGTCAAAAACCCTGCTTTCTATCCTGTTCATCCATTACGTTACCCTCTACCTCCCCATCTCCTGTCTGCCTATGGCTACTGCCTTCCCTCTGAACGTTCTGAGAGAGGCCAGGTAAACTGAGTCAAAACTTCTCTAAATGTGATGAAAAAGTCATTCAGAAGGTACTCCAAGAATGTCCTTTTGAATTACATATAAAGTGAAGTTCCAGAATACGCATTTAATTCATGCAATTTTAGGAAAATATGGTAAATATTAACAGAAAAATGGAAAAAAAGATCACTGCTTTAAATTTTGTTTCCCAGTAACTGATGAACATAAATACATCAGTGATGTTTAATCTGTATTTGTTTTGTTGATCTCAGTTCTTAAGTGTTTTATAGTGTGAGCATGTCAAGCAAACATGGACTATTTCAAGATGTGTATGTTTTACAACACTACATGACCTCAAAAGGGAAGTCAAATACTTTTTAGAGGATCAGCTGAAGAATGAGTAATTTACACCAATTCCAGAGAAAGTCTAATTATTACTCAGCACAAATATAAATTTAAAAAGTTAAAGAATGTTTGTATTTTTTTTTAGCTTACTAGGTATGTATTTTACATTATAACATCATTTTCAATGTGATGTGATAACTTGAATGTATGAAGAACATGCAACCTAAAAAACATGAAGACAATGAAAGAAAAATCTCAGATTATGAAGTATAACATCGCAAATATTATTGAAGTTCTCCATATATTCTTATTATTCAATCTTACACCCTAATCCCCAGGATAATCATCAGTCTTGCTTTTTTGTTTCCCATTACCTTGTTGTTATAGACTATATTTCTGTGTGTATATAACACACCATCCTTTATTTTTATGTGTTTTATTATTATATAATTATATCGTATGTTATAGTTATTGACTTGTTTTTAATTCAAAATAGTGTATCTGAGATTTCTTCAGCTTCTTAGTAGTTCTCCTAAGACAAATATTTTACATTGTTCCACATTTTTCACTACAGTAAACAACTCTGCACTGGACATTTTATTCATTTGTATTCATAGTTCCTAATAGACATACACAAGAGTTTCTCTAGACTAGCAATTATTTATTCATAGAGTATGCACTTGTGTAAATTTAGTAAGAATGCCAAAATGTTGTTGAAAGGACTTTGAGGACTCTCCTGCCAGTTCTTCGTGAGAGTTCTTGTTCCTTCATTTCTGCTAACACTTGCTGTTGTCTTGTGTTTCATTTTACACTTTTCCAAATGCAATGAATATGAAATTGTATTTCAGTGTTTAACTCAGAAGTATTATCACTTTGTTGTAAGATCTACATAGTTTTCCCAAGCTTTTTGTTCTACCAGAACTATTTAAGAGCCCCACTGGCAGTGCATCTAATTATTTGATATCCAATGTAGGCAAAATTTTATCCTACTGTGCTTTTAGTTTGTATTCCCGTGATTACCAATAAGGATATTTTAATCAATTATTTAGCTATAATTCTTTCCTTTTCTGTGTAATAACAGTTCTTCATTTTTACCTTACATTTTTTTTTTAGGTTCTGGATCATACTTTTTAAACCATATGCATGACATTTTCTTCAGGTTTTTGACTACTCTTTTTGTTTTAATATGTTGTATCATGAGGAATAAAATTCCTAGCTGTGACACGCATAACTTTAATATAATGTGCAGTTTACACATTTTCTGGCATGCTTTAGAAATATTCCTCAAACATGAGATCATGAAGTTGTTCTCATTTTTTGTTTTCTAAAGGTCTACAAAATTGTTTTCCTCATTTTCGGATTTACCAGTGCAAGGAGTGGGAGGGAGGACGAAGAGGGTGGAAGAAGAAAAGGGTAGAAAGATGTGAGGTTAGAATATAATATCATTTTTTCCCCCATGAACAGCACTAGTACTCCTTGTTAAGTATTCTGCCTAATATGTCATTCATGAGCTTCTTTGTGTGTACACTGTCTGAGACCCCAAATCGACTCTGGATCCTCGGGATCCATCTTCATAATGATATGCTTTTAAAATCATTATTGCCTCACATAACTATCCAGAATGGCAAGTTGTCTCATTTGTACTTCTTGAAAAACATCTTAGTTTTCTTTTTCTCTCCCATGTTAACATTGGAATGAGCTTTTTAATTTCAATGTCAAGACTGTGATTGGATTTACACTGATTCTAAATTAGGATTTGAGAAGATATGCCAAACTAAAAATAGCTTTAAATGCTTAAAACTGTTGTCATGATCTGAATGTTTGCATACCCCTCCAAATCCATCTGTTGAAATGCTAAGCCCCAAAGTGATGTTTCAAGAGGTGGTGTAACTGGTGTACTTATAAAAGGGACCAATAGACAGATTTTTTTGTTCTTCCCACAATGCATAAAGACAAAGCTGAAAAGCACCTCCTTTGAGAAAAAGGTTCCAGCCAAACACTGTAGTTACCTGTATTTTAAATGTCTAAGCTCCAGAGGTGTGAGCATGAATGTACTGTTACTAATAGATCGAAGGAATTTCCAGTCTGTTTTGTTATAGTAGCTTGAAAAAACTAAACTAGTTATCAAATTTCTGAACATTAATATAAAATGTAATTTGAAATTAAAATATTATTTGGATGTTGCTGTTATAGAGGAATATTATTCAGTTCTATAAAGTAACTCTTCTAAACTTTCTTACTAATTTTCTATTTTGTATGCTTCTTTGTTTTTTATGTAAAAAAATTGTCATAATGAAGGTTTTATTACTTCCATTCTCATCATTTATGTATTTTTTATTTCTATACAGTCTATGACTTCTATGTGATATTTAATAGCACATTCAATAAGATATATTAGTAGATATCTATATTATATTGTAAATATCAGCTATGAAATGTTTCTCCAAGTCTCCAATTATTGACAGCTGTTCTTTAAATGGGTATGGAATTTTACGAGAAATTTTAATACATATATTAGGGCAATCATGTGATACTTTTCATTAATATGATGGATTATATTAACAAATTTTTCATTGTTAGATCTAGCTTCTTTTCTAAGATAAATTCTACTTAATAGAATGCATTATAATTTTAAAAATTATGATGTGATTTGTTTTGCCAGTATTTTGTTAAAATTTTATATTCACAAGCCAGGCATGGTGGTGCATGCCTGTAATCCCAGCACTCGGGAGACTGAGGCAGGAGGATTATTGCAAGTTTGAGGTTAACCTTGGCTACAAAGTGAGCTCAAGGCCAGCCTGAACTTCAGTGAGACCCTGTCTCAAAAAGACAAAAAAAGACAAACAATTTTACATTCATTTTTTAAAGTAAATTGGCATTAAGAAAGGAAAGAAAGAAAGAAAGAAAGAAAGAAAGAAAGAAAGAAAGAAAGAAGGAAGGAAAGAAAGAAGAAAGAAAGAAAGAAAGAAAGAAAGAAAGAAAGAAAGAAAGAAAGAAAGAAAGAAAGAAAGAAGAAAGAAAGAAAGAAAGAAAG